GCCCTTTTTCTTGCTATTCTCCTTCTCTTTGATCTTTGGATATCTCTTTTCCAATGTCTCTACTCCTTGCAGAATCCATATTGGTTCTTTCCTAGCTGGTGACGACCTCTTGACTTTGACCTTCCTCTTATCACCTTTCGGATATGGGCTTCTACCTCTCGTCGATAAGGCCTCACCTGAAGTACTAGCACGGGAAGTCTCCTTGTCTTTCCTCCTCAAATCATAATTTGTTAATGCATTAGTAACTTCACTATAGCTGATAGAAGATCTCCCGTTCAACAAAGTGAGCACAAATGTGTCATACTTCTCATCTGGTAAGGAACCCAATAAGATAATAGCATTGTACTCATCCGATATCTTCTCATTAACATTCACCAAGTCCGACAACAACTTAGTGTAGTTGTTCACATGAGCCGCAAGCGAGGTGCCTCTGGACATCTGAAATCTGAATAACCTACGCAGTAAGTACAACCGATTCTCAACACTCTTCGTAAGGTACTTATTATTGAAAATTTCCCACATCTTCATTGCAGACGTCACCCCAATCATATTATACTTCAGCTCTTGTTCCAAATAGGACCCGATCACCCCACAAGCGTTCCTATTCATCTTTACTCATATTGCCTCTTCATATTTTGGTGGTCTCTCATGGATAAGCGCATCTTGTACGTCGCTCATCCACAAACCAAAGTTAATTTTACCGTCATACTTCACCACACTAATTTTGATGTTCTGAAAACCAACTTGAATTGTACTCGCCAACGACTTGCTGCTTTCACATTCTTCTCCCATTGCAAACTAACTCCAGTTGTAGAGAAAAAATCAAACTTTGATAGAAATTAAGAATTACCCAACCGAACCCTAGATCAGATTCCAAGTAGATCTCTTATCCACACGACGAAAGCAAAATCTCCAACGACAACTCCTAATGCTATCTCCACCGAAGCCTAGAACTCCAAAAACCAAGATTCACATAAGAATCTTCCTCCACCTAATTCCAAAACCCTAAATCTGAAACCTGGACTCTGATACCACTTGTTGTGCGCAACGAAAATTTTGAGAGCACATCGACAGCACAACAAGAGAGTTAGATCGCAATAAAAATTCCCGTTTCACTAAGGAAACAAGAACCAAAAACAAAATATCTCAACAAAGTGGCATATCAACTCTTCCTCTCATTAGTTCTAGGTCCGACTTGTCGAGGGAACCTAAATATGCTATACAAATCACACAAATAACGAGACAAACTAATTTTACGTGGTTCGACAAATAACCTACGTCCACGAGACAAGGAGGGGGGAGATCTACTATTAGAGGGAGAGAATACAACTAGGATTTACAATCTCACAATCTAAACCCTCAAATAATCTCTCAAATCCCTCACAATCTCTCCCTCAAAAGGATATTCAAAACCCTTAAAGAACGGCTGACTTCTGCCGCTACCTTCTGCAATTTTCTGCACCCGCACAAAGCCCAAAAAAGCATCTGACAACCACAGCCGAAAACAAAACCTCCTTCACACTGTCGTTTTCCCCTCAGCCTTGCTCACATCCCGAAACCCTAGACGTTATTTTTATAGCAGCGGAATTGGGTGTTCAATCAATCTCGTACCTGCTCCGCTTCATGAGTTCGGGTGGGCCACATTCACACGCAAAGAAACGAAAAATTGGAAAAGGTTGTGGCCCCCAACTCACATTACAAAACATACATGGCAGCTTCTTTGTTTTTTACGTACTGTCAAGGTAGTTTCTTGGTTATTACTTTTTTCATTGGGGGAAGGAAATTAAAACTAGATTCATTGTTGATTTCATAAGGGCACTAAAAGTACTACTTAACTCGGTAAATACTTGGCTGGCAGGTAAGAGTATTTTTAACATTTGCTATTATGTTCTAATTCTGTACCCTCTTATTATTCATCACACATAATTCTCAAAATATATTTCTACAGAATATAATGCAAATCTTTGAGGTGAACGCTTTCCTGGCTTCACACTGTAAGATGCTTATAATGCGTGATAGTTTTGAGGAAAATTTATGCATGATAACGTGCTAGTTCGAAGGAAAGTTACGGCTGCTAATGCTGATGCATAAACCTACTTGTAAATTTCATACAAACTGCGCTACACAAGCCACATCCATTACTGTACAACTTAAGCCATCATAATGAGCAATTAAGTATACACAAAGCAAACTAATTTCTTTTTTCCAAATAAACATCTAAATTCAGTCTAATATTTTCCAATGCAAAATTGACAAGAAGCATTCAACTAGTTTCAATACATGAAGCAATACCACTATAGGGTACTATGACGCAATATACAACCATACTTTTCAAGCAATAAATATATTGGATAACATAAATTAATAATTCAAATAACATGAATTGTAAGTTAACAAGGATTCCTAGTGCGTACACATGTAAAAATTTTCTTCCTAAGTTCAAGAATATGTTATATATTTTGAACTATATCCAAGACTATCATCACAAAATACACATTTATTAGAAGACTGCCCATATCATACTGTCAGTTAAGACACAGTATGCGGATGGATTACAGCAGATTTCATCAAAATAACAAGTTCACACTTTACAGAAGATAAGAAGAATGATAAACAAACTTCCAAAGAGGTACAATGATGAATATTAACAATATAGCAAGCTACATTTTGAAGATCCTATTGAATATAGAGTACAGAAAAGACTCAATAATATGCAAAGTAGCAAAACCCAATATAAACACAATTATAACTGAATCCACTGTTGTTCAGTTTTCATCTAAGGTTGGGATGTTAACTGAGTCATATATAACCAACCATTTTGAGGGTTAATGCAAAAAAGAGGGCTGGGATCTTACCCTGAGACCCCATCCTTACTCGAATAAACACACGCATGCACGCGAGAGCACACTCTCCTATAACAGGTGCAGAACCAAATATACTAACGCAGAGCACAAAAGTTCACTACAATAATAAGGCTCAATCTCCAACAAAGACATCGTACAATAAGTCACAGTACACATCAACAGAATAAAATCAGGAGCAAGTGACTTGTACAATAAGTCATAGGACAGATTAACAGGATATCATCAAGAGTATGTGACCACTAGTTTGAATAGATGAAAGCAAAAATACCATCATAAAGTACTATGAAGCAAAATGCAACCCTCTACTTCTCGCAATAAATAGATTGGATAACATAAGTTTATAATGCAAACAACAGAAAATTGAAGTCAATAAGTATGCCTAGTGCATTAGAAATGTAAAGTTTTCAATTCAATCAGTTTGTAAGATCAAAAGAAACCAATTTGAAAATATGCTACATACTCACATGTTTGAGATATATTAACTTATATGCAAGACAAATAATCAGAGAATCCATTTTTGGTTAGAAGACTACCCGTGCCATATTGTCAGTCACGACACAGTATAAAGATAACTATAAAAGAACATCAGCATAAAAACCTTATAGAAGATAAGAAAAGTGATAAACAAATCTCCACAGGTGTACAAAATGAGTATTAAAAATATAGCTAGCTATATCCTGAAGATTTATATCGAATATAAAGTACAGAAAAAAACTCAATAAAATCCAAAGTAGCATAACCTAATATAAACACCATTATAACAGAATACTCTGTTGTTCAGTTTTCATCCTATGGATGAGGATGTTGCTGAGTCATAAGTAGGCAATCATTTGGGTGTTAATGCAGAAGGTAGGGTAGGGCGGGGTCTTACACTGAGACCCCATCCTTGTTCTTAAAAAAATTAATGCAGACCAAATCTACTAATGAGGACCACAAGAGACATACACAACAGAAGTGCACAACAATAAGGTTCAAACTCCAACATAAACATTGTACAGTAAGTCATAATGCATATTAACATGATAATATCAAGAGTAAGTGACAAACTTGCATTAAATGCTTAGTTATTCTTGCTGTATGGCACAGTTAAGAGCATAAAAAATTGCATGACGGCAAGATATCTTAAGACTACTTGCAAGAGCTACACTTAAATAATCAGAAAGATAGACGACTAATTTCTCTTATCAAATAAGTTATCACTATCAAACTCCCGGAATTCCAACGAGTCTCTCTGTTTTTAGTTTCAGCATCCTCGACTCTGGTTCTTAAGGTCTTTAACTTTTTCCTCTAAATGCAGTCCAGTAAAAATGCCTAACTAAACTAGAGAACCAAACTCATATGTGAACTTGATTTCTTCTAGTCTAGATTCAGAAGTAATTCTAGAACTGATACAAGAAGCGCTAGAAATCATTACGAAATTATACATCCTATAGGATATATGATATCCCTCTCTGTGATCTAGGAACAGACTCCCAAGGTCATCCCATAACCAAAGACACCATGCCTGCTCTCATGTCTCTTGAAAAATACAATTTGGGTTCTTCAGATTTGGAGAAGAAAGGGTTATACATAGAGATGGAAGAAAGGAGAAAATTGTGCATATGCTTCGTGAAAAGTTGAAGTTTGTGGGTATTCCAAAATCTAAGTTTTCAACCTAAGACAGATCAACATGAAACATTATATAGCAAAGAATTGAACAATAACACTTTTAACTAACATCTAAAAGTGGGGGAGAAAAGAGCTCGAAACTCTAATATGATACAAACTACTAGACTCAAATATATACAAATTAAAAAGTTCTCTAACACTAATATTTGCATAAGCTATCGATCTATCCCTTCATATACTATCTACTATATGAAGAAATATGTCAAAATAAAATGCTATGCTGTTCTAGACATGAAGAGAAGCACCTAGCATCTAGGCTTCCTACATTTGCGGCGGCAACCACATAGATGAAATGTCTTGAATACGAGATCGGTTAAGCTAACACCTAAGTGGATTCCTAGGCCCTTTTACAACATTAATGATGATCTCTCTCATGTGTTGCTTCTAGAAGGTGTCACCGTCAGGTCCTTTTTTTTGTGTGTGTCTGTACTCTCCTGCATTTTCAAAATTAGGTTGAGAGTCAAGATGCAAACTGAAAACCTACAATTCCATTGAATCACAACCTTCAAATTTGACTTTGGGCCCCCTTTCTATAGGATTTTGCTATCAAATACCAAGCCAATAATCTTGCAAGAGTTCCCCTTATTATTCGGACTTCCATACTTGAATTAAATTAACTCTGCTGCCTCACTGAGATTCTAAACTGATGCTCATTGATTCTAGAGTCCATTCATTTTGATATGTTGGTTATATTTTCTATCTTTCTTAAAGGATTGTCAATCCCAGTGTAATTAACACCAGCAGTGCTCTTGCTGGAACTACACCATCTCCTACTCTTACCATCAGAATAATAAGCTCAAACCTGAAAGTATTTGCTTCTCTGCTGGTCTTTCTTTACTCAATGATGCACCACTGGGGGAAGCTGGAGTTCGCATTTGCCTATCGACTTGGGATCTGATGAGATGTTGCAGTAGCTTTCACACTAAGTGCATCCGTATGAGGTTAGGTTCTCGATTCATCCGTCCTCTTTTCACAATCAGTATTGAATCAGAGACTCCAAACTCTGCAGTATGATGAATTTCAGGTAAAAGTCACAGTCCACAGAATTGAGCTTGTGCATATTTTGTCCTGTGTAATATAAATATAGATGTGTTTTTATTTCAAAACATGACACATACAAGATGGAAAAGATCTAACTTATTAGTAGTAGTTCATAAAGATTGACTATCAGTCAGTAGGACTATGAAATTATAGCCTGCACACAGGATACACTATTATATTTACAGCATGAGCATGCTCAAAAAAGATGAAGGACATCAAGATAATTCATTGGTCTTTGCTCAAGAGAATTTCACACACACATTCACACAAGTGCGCACACACACAGTTACACAAGCTCGAAAAAGATGAAGGACATCAAGATCAGGCTATGGTCTTTGCTCAAGAGCATCACACAGTTACACAAGCTCGAAAAAGATGAAGGACATCAAGATCAGGCTATGGTCTTTGCTCAAGAGCATTTCACACAAAAAAGACGGACTTCAAGATCAGGCTATGGTCTTTGCTCAAGAGCATTTCACACAAAAAAGACGGACTTCAAGATCAGGATATGGTCTTTTTGCTCAAGAGCATTTCACACAGCCATCCACCCCACCCACACCCACACCCACCCATCCACCCACACAAAAAACAAGAAGAAAGGTGATAAGAGCAATTAAGGCAACTTAAAGAATATGAGGACATCAAGATCAGGCTATGGTCTTTGCTCAAGAGCATTTCACACAAAAAAGACGGACTTCAAGATCAGGCTATGGTCTTTTTGCTCAAGGCATTTCACACAGCCATCTACCCCACCCACCCCCACCCACACAAAAAACAAGAAGAAAGGTGATAAGAGCAATTAAGGCAACTTAAAGAATATGGAAATCAAACTCTGCCAATCAAATGATCACCAATGAATATGGATTATAAACATGAGCAATAATTTCAAATATTGATAGGGAATCGAGTGATTTGCATCAGATAATTACTTATGATATGGTCATAGTTCTGAGCTATATGTAAACGATCCTTTTAAATCATAGTTCTTAAGGCTGAAACGAACTACACCCTTATCCGACAACTTACTAAGATGGATGTGAACTGTAGGGACACATATGCAAGAAATGTATGACTAGTGTTTTAAATTAAACATGCATTGTATAATTGAGTACACGTCTAATAAATATATATGCATATATTAAATAATTAAAAGAGTGACCAAGAAGTGTCGGGTAAACGAGTACGACACATATCGGGTAGTGGTACAACTCCATAAAGAAGTACTCAGATAACATAGCATCTCGTTGTTCTTCAAAGTCTAAAAGGACAACACAATAAACCATCAGACTTGGGATTCAAAAAGATGAATTTTTGAGTGATTAAAACTCCATAATTAAAATGATTTAGTAGGAAAAAAATATGGATATGGTAATTATAGACCTAGAAAAAGTAGAACTTCTTATAAAAAGTATACCAAATATGACCTTATAGTTATTATTAATTCAAAGGTTAAAAAAATATTTTGAAGGTAAGGATGACTATACGAGGAACTATACAAGTATTCAAGAATTTAATAGAACTTTTTCTTTTATCAAGATTACATCGTCAAGAAAGATATCTACAAAATCAAGAAATTCAAAAGAAAGGAAAATAAAATAAATAATTATAGAGTATTTTAAGAAATTCAAAAACTTGACAAGGATACAATCAAAGCACCACTTTATTTTCTTCTAAAAGATTAGTAGAGAACATGGTTTCATGCTTTCTTAAATCTTCAAAATCTATAAGTGGATCTTACAACCCAATTTTTTTTTTCAAATCTTCCAGATAAAAGTAGCACGGAATGTAACATTACTGGAACAAAAAAAATTACAAAGCACCAATGTAATCAAATATTCCTGTTTTACATATCATTTTTGTGTTTCTCAAGAAACAAATATAGAAATTTCCAAATTCTAAAACTGTTCTAAATTAAGAGTCAAAGTCTACGAAAATTAAAGAAAAAATAATTAGAACAAGAAATTTCTAGTTCAAAGATTACAACAAAATGACACTGTTTAAAAAAACAATGATCTCCATAAGAAGCAAAAATAGCTAAAAAGTCAGATGAAAATTTGTACGGGCCTATAAGTAATGAAGTTGAACAAAATCTAGTACTCCACTTGACATAATTTTAACACAGAAATAAGCATAAATTGGTAGAACAACTAGTGTTAAAGTTTATATGACAAAAGCCAATGAGTGATATCCAATGATAATAAGGTTAAGGTGAAAGCTGATGATATGAAGATGTCTAAAGTGCATGCCCTCACGATGCAACTCAGTATTAAGTGCAACTGCATACTGATAAAATGGTGTTACACACTGCGAATGAATGCAGAAACAATGGATGACGATACCGCTTAATACAGAACTACACAGTAAATATTTAGTGCAGAAACAATGGACAACGATGAATGAAGTTCGAGAAATAGAAGTTTGATGTGTAAAAACTATTAGACAAGATAGATAAATGCAGAGGTCGAATAGGGGGAAGTAGGGGTGCAAAATAATCTATATATATCTGATCTGATCTACAACAGTAACCCCAAACAAATGAGAATATGGTTTCACATTTTTGGTTTGATACAAATATCGCTTCAATTTTTGGTTTGATAATCTATTTAAATTCAGATATGGATCAGATATATATTTAGATATGAATTTAGTCACTGACATAGTTATAGATATGAATATTATTAAATTTTTTATTATCTTGATATCAATTGCATGAGATTTGAAATGTCGTTATATGTTTTTGGTTTACTAGATCATGCTTTTACTGAGGTAACAATTATACATTTTAAACTTATTTATAGTCAATTTTAAGTTATACTATAATTTAATTTATTGTTTATCAATGGATATAATAAAATGGGAGGCCTAGAAGAAAAATTTGCAGCACTTTATGTTGTAATTCTTATCTCGTACTTTTTCTAATCAATTGCTTGCAATTCTTAGTTTTGTGAGGTTTGCTTAGATTAGTGTGGTTGAAATTTCATGAGATCTTACTGTATAAAACCAAATTTTTAACTGATAACTTTTATTGTCCAATTAACATGATATTTTATGTTATACGATTGATATTCGAATCATATCCGTTTTCCAAATATCTGATTTGCATATGTGATGGTATCCATATCCGCTTCCTTAATATCCAAACCATATCCGTTTCCACTTAATGTGGATATGGTTGACTTTTTCTTATCGAAGAATATTTATATATGTATCCATGTCTGTTTTTTAGGAAGTGGATATGGATATGATAAGTGTCATATCCAAATCGAGTTCACCCCTAAGAGAAAATCATCCATATCAAGTTCAAATGACAAATAATATGAAGGCAGAAAATGATCGTTGATACGGAAAATTTTGGATAATAACGTTTAACAGCAATAATATGTGCCTATGAGACTAATGTACGGGGTAATATGTGAAACTATAAGAATGGAACGAAAAGCGAGCTGAGAAAATAACTTTTATTTTTCAAGAAATTTCAAACCAATCTTTAAACTCTGACAAAATTTTTTATAACTACAATATTACTATAATTAAAAAGCAAAATGAAAAAAAGTATAATTTTGGATTCAAAATTCCACAAATTTCTGAAATTCCAAAAAGCTCTAAGGTTGAATTGATTTTGCTTGAAATAGAGAGAAAAGATTTCATTACTAGGAAATTTTAAAAAAAAGTGATAGACCAAATCTTCAAAAAACATCACATTATACAAAAACTATAAAGCTTTTTATCCCTAACGCTTGGGGTCAGCTACATGTGAGTGGGTCCCACGCGTAAAAGTTAGCAGACCCACGCGCAATTGAGACACCCACGTTCAGCAGCTTCGTTTCCGCGTGGGAGGCCTAAGCATGTGGGGGCCACCCAAATTGATATGATATATATAGTTTTTTGTAGCAGTTCCTAGGGTTATGTGCAAGGAAGAAAAAAGAACGGCAGAGTTCTCTTTTGGCTGCAGCAAGAAGAAAAAACGCAGAAGGGGAAAGGTGACGGCGTGGTGAAAACACAGAGGAGAAAAAGAGGTGATTTTGAGCAGCCGTTTTTTAGGATTTGTGCATCCTTTTGTGAGAGTTTTGAGAAGATTGTTTGAGGATTTAATTTGTGTGATTGTAAATCCTATTTGTATTCTCTCTCTAATAGTAGATCTTCCTCTTCTTGCCCCGTGGACGTAGACTACTTGCCGAACCACGTAAAAATAGTATCTTACTGTGATTTGTAATAGTTTTTAGGTTTGCTCGATAAATCAGTCCTAGAACTGATGAGAGTAAGAGTGTATATCCCACTTTGTTGAGATATATTACTTTCAGTTCTTGTTTCCTTTGAGATTTAGTTGTGATCTTACTCTCTTGTTGTGCAGCAGAGGTGATGCCGAAATTTCCGCTGCGCACTACAAGTGGTATCAGAGCTACAGATTAGGCTTGGAGCTTGTTTGAAGGATTCCCTGAAGGATTCCTATTTGAAGAGTTAGATCGACAACATGGATGAAACAAGAACATCAGGATCGTCTCTTTCGAAGGCGATACAGAGTCTGAGCATCAATAATACAAAGATTGATGTTCCGAAGTTCGACGGCAAGATCAATTTCGGATTGTGGAGGTGTCAGGTGATAGATGCTTTGGATGCACAGAATTTGGAGGAGACTCTTGAGTTACAAGAGAAACCCGAAGACATGGAGGACAAGGTTTGAAAGAAGATGAACAGTAGGGCTTGTGGAGTTACTCGGTCATGTTTGACGTCGGATCTTATTTATGATGTTATGAACGAGACGTCGACGAAGAGATTGTGGGAAACGCTCAATGAGAAGTATCTTACTAAGAACATTGAGAATCAGCTTTACTTGAAGAAGAGGTTTTACCAGTTCAAGATGAAGAGGGGAGTTTCCATTAAGGAGTATGTAAATAACTTCACGAAGCTACTTTCAGATATGGCCAATGTGTACATCATGATTGAGGATGAAGACAAGGCGAAGCTACTTTTGTGTTCGTTGCCGGAGGATGATTATGGTACGTTTGTTCTCATTATGATCAATGAAA